GGGGTACTGGTGGATGAAAAGCTGGACATGAGCCAACAATACATGCTTGCAGCCCAGAAAGCTAACCAAATCCTGGGCTGCATCAAAAGCAGCGTGGCCAGCAGGTCGAGGGGGGTGATTCTGCCCCTCTGCTCTGCTCTGCTCTGGTGAGACCTCACCTGGAGTGCTGCGTCCAGCTCTGGGGCCCTCAGCACAAGAAGGATGTGGACCTGCTGGAGCAGGTCCAGAGGAGGGCCACAAAAATGATCCGAGGGCTGGAGCACCTCTCCTATGAGGCCAGGCTGAGAGAGTTGGGGTTGTTCAGCCTGGAGAAGAGAAGGCTGCGAGGAGACCTTATTGCGGCCTTTCAGTACTGAAAGGGGGCCTACAGGAAGGATGGGGACAGTCTTTTTAGCAAGGCCTGTTGTGACAGGACAAGGAATAATGGATTTAAACTAAAGGAGGACAGATTTAGACTGGATATAAGGAAGAATTTTTTACAATGAGGGTGGTGAAGCACTGGAAGGGGTTGCCCAGAGAGGTGGTTGATGCCCCATCCCTGGAAACATTCCAGGCCAGGTTGGACGGGGCTCTGAGCAACCTGATCTAGTTAAAGCTGTCCCTGCTCCCTGCAGGGGGGTTGGGCTGGATGACCTCTAAAGGTCCCTTTGCAACCCAAAACATTCTATGATTCTGTGATTCTAAGTTGGCCATAGCCCTGCAGAACCCGGGTTCCCACACCCTGTGTGGACATCAGCACTGTCTGGAGCACTGGTCTCATGGGCTGTTCCAGTCTGTCGCAACCAGAGGAACTCTGGCAGTCTCTCCTTTTGCTCCCTTGCAACAGAGTGAGCATCATTGACATCTCTAACACAGCACCCCTTGGGCTGCCGGGACTGCATCAAAGACACCAGGACAGGAATTAATAGAGGGGAGAGTAGGTATTTTCATCTTACCCACTGAATGTAAACAAAACTTTTCTGGTCTTTTCATTTTGTTTTGCCATTTTAAGGAGTTCCACTGAGTCGACTAAAAGGACTTTATACTTCATTGTGGTATGTGTCTGCAATGTGTTGACACGGGATTAGGAAGCAGTGCCAAAATACCACAGCATTAAACTAAGCATTCCTGTTTAAGGACCACCTTCTAAAACAGGGTTGCATTTCAGCTCAGATCAGATGAACTATCTGCTGAAACCCCTGCTGGTGCTTTGCCCTTGACCGCATCCAATGGCTCCTCTGCTCACCATGTTACATTGACCTGTCTTGTTTAATGGTACTCTCGGGAAGAGGGTACCCTGGCAATAGTGAATGAGACAAAGCACATGTGCCCACATATGGTATTTGCATTTTCTTGCACAGTCAGATGGGATTTAAGGAGGCAGAGAGTAGGTATACGCTCCCCACAGAGCAGGTTGCAGCCTTTACATTCCATGCTTTTGTTTTTGGAATTATTGTTACAATCTATAGACAGCAGGGAATATCTAATCTCAGACCCTTCCTATGATTCTGCATTTGTTTTGTTTTCCTAGGGGAAGAAGAACTGTGTAGAACTGTTTGTGTCTCCACTGAACAGAAAGCCAGGAATTTCTGAGGCGCTCCCATCTGAAGAGGTGCTGCGTTCCCTTAATATCAACATTTTGCATCAGAGTTTATCCCAGTTTGGAATAACAGAGGTCTCTCCTGAGGTTGGTTATCAATTTTCTAACCTGTAGTTTGTTACAGATTAGACAGTTATTACATCCCTGGTAGCTTTCAGGCTGAGGTTCTCAAGCATGAGGCGGGAAATGTGTAAGCTAAGATGGCATTACTGCTGTAAGGCAATTATACAGCTAGCTCTGTTAAATTACTTTAATAGTGCTTCATTAGGCTATTTAAGCATGAATCCAGGTCCTCCTCACACAGTTGGGCTACCATTGAAATCAGAGTTTAGATCCTAAGCATGCATCAATTGCCTTAAAGGAAGAGGGCCCAAGGACATTCAGTCTGTTAATGTGTGTTGGCAGGTATAACAATTTCCATAGAGAGATAAATGAAATGCAGATGTCAGGTGTGAGCATTACTACCTGTGTAACTTGTGTCTGACATGATTTTGAAAACTGAATTTGTACATTGTATTCATGCTTCTTTCTCTTCTCGGGAGAAGTGAGAGATTTATTGTGTTCACCTGCTCCAAAAAGAGGGCAAAAATAAAACTTGTAGCTATTATCTGTATGACTACATCCATTTTTTTTGAAAAAAAAAAAAAAAATCTATTTCAAAGCAGAGACTGCGCTGCCATCTCCACAGTGTCCCAGACATTACCAGTGGGATAGACATCTAATTCTGGGCTGACCACTTGAGCCATGCACAGCAAATGAATAAACACGAAGGCCTTTAGGAAAGGAAATCACTGAGCTCATGGACATAGTCACATCACATTGCATTTTATTTAGCGTCCTAGAAGCCCTTACCTACATATAAAGACCCTCAGAATTCAGTGTGAGGTCCAAATAACTTCAGACATGTTATCAAGAATTAGTATTTTCCATGGAAGCTCCCATTTTGACAGAGGAGATGTCTATGTCCAAAAAAAAGGAGAAAAGGAGAGGTTCTTATGAGCTGTGTTTCCACCTGTGGGTAAAGTGTTCCTGGTTTTTTTACATCCAAACCTATGTCTGAGCCATTGCTGAGTTAGTACTGGCTGTTATGTTCACCTGTATTTCTACTGATTAGAAATGCTTTTGCTCATTTTAAGTATTCTAAATCTGTTTAAGAATCTGGAAGATGCCTGTGGTACAAAAAACCAAAATATAAAAACAAGGCCAGTTTAATGCAATTTTACATGCTCTACCACAGCAGCCTGCCACTGTGAAAATGAGCACATTCTCAGGTTTTAGCTGTTCTCATACAAAACAAAGCCAAGCAGTGCTGTTCAAATGTCAAATCAGATCTTTATATTACCCATCAGTACCTGGGCTAAGCTTCCTTTAGGTCAGAATGTCCTTTGTTACTGAAGCATATGAGACTGATGGTTGTGATATATGAAGTTATCTGTTCCAAGTACTTCAGTTACAAATAACACTTCAGGTAGACGTGGGACAAGAACATATATGAATAATAGATGAATGGAGAAATAGTATCAAGCTATGAAAAGACACTGGAAAAAAACACAGCACTGAACTCAAGATCTCATCAATGTTAGATACATTTCAATAATCTGGAGTGCTCAGATATTTGAATTTTCTCTCTGGAAAAAAAAATGTAGACAACCAGACGGAATCATTTAGAGATGATTATTAGGATGAAAGTTATGCAGAATCTAACTCCTTCTAATACGGTTGGAGAAACAAGAGATTATTTTAATGTTTCAGTTGCTAGCAGATTACACAGCTAAGGCCCTGATCCTGAAAAATTCATGCAGCTTTACACTAATAGGTATTCCTTTTGGATCTTAATAAATTGTTTACATGTGCAAGACTTCACAGAAAACAGGAGCTAAAAGACAACAACATATAATCTTTACTTGCTCAACTACTAACCAGTTATTTACTCTTCTCTTAACTTGCTCTAAGAACAAATCGTGCCAAAGAAAATAACAGCAAAGAAAATCAAAACAGGCAAGCCTTTGAAGGAAGATATAGTTATATAAAGCTTTACATAGCTTTGACACATTATTTTACCCATTTTGTGTGTTTATTCCTGAACTATCAATCCTAATTAATTCATAAGCTAATAAATTGTTATTCTTCCACCAAGAACTCAGAATGTTTCACGACCAGTATTGTATACGCACTCACAGTGTATCTGTGCAGAAAGGAAGCATTACCCTCATCTTTCTAGGTGGGTGGCTGACACAGAGGTGTTAGGGCTGGAATTTGTCTCCTTTTTTAGCTGCCTGTTTCAGTATTAGCTGCCTAAGGCTTGAAAGTCTACCGTCTCTCTCGACGGTAAACAGAAAGACAGAATTAGCTCCAGTGGGCAGTTCATCCCATCTCTGGGATACCTCTCCTGAGATTGCTTGGTTGACTCTCTTTAATGGTGGGGGAGGTTGCCCTATCCTAAGAAACTTTACCAAGATTATGTAGGAAAACCCAAGTTTTCCAACCAAGTGGAAAACTGAAGCTTTCTGCTTAAAGTCTCAGCCCATGCGATCCCATAAACAGCAAAAGCCTCAGTGGATGTAGGTGACTGGAACAACATTTCCATTCATTCCAGTAATAATTTGCCAGTTCACATCTGCTGATGCATTAATCACTGATTGATATATTTTCAATTCAATTGCCTGTCTTAAAATTCATATCCTAGTTTCTTACGCTGCAGTAGCTGAAAGAGCAGATTCCCCATGTGCCTTTGCTGTACGAACCACTAGAGTCCTTTGCTGCCTGGTGTAGCATGGACTGTGTACCTGTGGGAATGTGAAAATGTAATTTCGCAGAGTTGTTGCCCTTTTGGGGATCCAGGGAAATGGCAATACGTTCCATATGTCCTTTCTCTTCCAATGGCCTATTGTAGTTGTAGCATTTGCTCTTTTATTATGGTCTAAAGTTTGTGTCTGAAGTGGGATTTAGGATTGTGTCCTGCTCCATGGTGTGTAGCAGGGCCAGGAGCAGAATTCCTCAGGACAAATTACCAAATTGTTGCTTGTTGGTGGGACTAAATTCAATGACTCAGGCAGTCCATGTTATTATGGTGTGGGAATCCTGACTTCCTAATGTCTTTAAATTGTGCTCAGGGAAAATAGAAAATACTATTGGATTTCAGAGCTTAGGAGAGTAGAAGAGAACTTGAAGTGGCTTTGAATGACAAGAATAACTGAAGTTACAGTAGGTGAAATAAGAGTTACTGTCTATTGAGAGATAAGCTAACTGCCAGCTAGGAGATGTGGCACAAAAGGAGAATTTTCCAGAGTTCCTGCCAAAATTATGCAATCCCAAAATGTATCATTACAGCCTCCTTGCACAAGGCTTCTGTTGGTTGCCTTTGAAGTGTGTGATATTAACTTCTTAGAGAAGAAATCAAAGGAACCAATCATGCACTTACAGCATACAGAAACCATAAGTCATTGTAAGGACAAATGATCAAACCCAATAGCTTAGAAATTACAACAGCCTAGACCGACAGAGGCACCCGGGAACAAAGCAGAGCACAGGGACGTGCTCCTGTGGTCACGCAAGGCAGACGTAGCGTTCCACCTGCATGGGTGCAAGCAGAGCACCGCGGCAGGGACAGGAGCCCTGCAGGCCTGCCAGCTTTGACATGAAATCACAACACTTTATCGCACACACGTGTCAGGTGTGTGCCTCTTTGGGGAGGCTTTGTCATGGGACATGTTAAGTGGCTGGGAGTCGGAGAGGTCACCCGTGTTCCTGCATGTTTTCACTGGGGCTGGCAGTGATTTCTTGGCAGACTTGCCTAACCTGCCTTAGCTAACATAGTTAAAAATAGCAGAAAAAGCAAAAGCAACTCAGTGTGAACTTCAGTGAGCCTTTTTTGATCTTAAGTTCATTTCCCAGCTCTGTGTAAGCTTTCCTCTGAGCTCAGAACTACAGCTTGCCGTGCTTTCATTAGTCTTTCAGCCCAAGCAACTAACTGGGGTTAACTGACCCATTTGCAAATTCACCTATTTTCCAGTGAAGACTTATCTTTCCTGGCAGCTCCTGATCTCCTGATACCTTGACAGGATCTTTCAGTCACAGATTTTACAGTGACTACTTCAGGTCAATGTCTCTCTTGTTATTATCAAAAGCTGGCTGCTCATTTTATTTGTTTCTAGAAATAATCCACTAGGTTTCCATAATAAGACCAGAAAGGCCAGAGTAGATTTTTAATGTCTTCTTTTAAAAAAAATTCTATAGAAAATTGTTTTTCTAAACACATTCCAGTGTTCCAGTTCAGAGCAAAGCAGATACAGGCACTCTTCAGTAAGGTTGGCAATAGCATTGTTTAGAATACGTTGATTGTTCCCTACCTTGAATTATGTTGAATTTAAACTGTTTAAATTAAGCTGGCTAATTCTGCCTGAATGACTCACCTGATTGTGGACACTCCTTAGGGAATGGAGTCAAACACCAGGGATGATCCTCTTGATGATGTACAGGATGATGAAGCCAGATTTGCTGTGGGACCTGATGGTGGCTGAGCTACTGGAACTCCCCTGCCAGCCCACCCGCTCTGGGTACCCCTGCCTTTATCAGCTGTGGCTTTTTGCAGCTCAGCTTGAGTTTATCTTCCTGCCCTGTGATGGCAGTGGTACATTGCCACTCCTCAAAAACTATGCAAAAGTCTTAGTGGGTTCTCAGGCAGGAAAAGGCTCCCAACAGAGTGACTGAGAAATGTGGAGTAACATCAGTCAATTGAGACACAGCACATCTCCATGTGAGAGGCTCATTGCCCATGGTCATGGACAGAAATCCTCTCTTTTTTGATTTTTCCACAGCATTTGGCCATCCTGTAAGCTTATTTTTCCTGGGCGTCAACAATTTGTAGTGAGCGTGGCAGTTTCTGTCCCTCTTATCAGTTCTCCCAGACTGAGGAACAAAGTTCTGAATGAGCAGCACTGACGCTTTAGAAAGCAGTTCCTTATTGTGGGCGTGAACTGACTCAGTTACTGTAGGTCACAGCCTCTTCTGTCATTAGGGAGCAGCTTAAGCAATGAGTCTGCTGTTCTGCATACTGCTCAGTTAGATCTGGGGGAGAGATTTCCTGGGTTAGGTGAAGGTACTACTTCAGTCTTTCAAAATGGTGCGTGAAACGTTCAAGTTGTGGCATACATCTTTTTACCCTTTTTAACAGCATTCATTAATATTCGTTAGCTTTATTTTTAGAAAGACCAATCAGGGAAAAATGTATCCTGAACACACGTACCATTAGACAGATGTCATAGAGATTAATTCTCTTAGACTCAGTTATGTATACAAAGTCTATTATAAAATATTTAAAAAGTTTTGTGGTGCTAGTGAATTACAGTTAATTAAAGTCTCTCACCCATTGAGTCAAAAAGTCCTATTAGCTTTTCATTTACTTTTTAGTGTATTTGTCCTTTCAAGGCACAACCCCCCCCATTTACTCACTTAGAAAAGGTCAGCATGGCCAATTCTCCTTCAGCTCCTGCTTTTTATCTAGATTTTCTCCTGAGAGATCTGAAACACCGGAAAGCCATCGGGTAACCTACCCAGGGTCAACAGTTTATAGCTGCTGCTGTCGCTGTGGGATTCTCATGGAGCTCAAGAGAAGCAGTCCGATGTGTGGAGCAGCTGCAGTTTTGGGCTCTGAGCCAGTACTGGGACCCGAGTCCTGTGCTGTGAGCACAGCAGAATAACCTTGCTGTGCTGAGGTAGCAGGTTGCACGGAGAGCTGCACCCCGTTAGAGTGGCAACACTCTTCAAATATGTCTAGGAACAATTTTTGCAGATATATTTGGCAAGATTTCCAGCTTATCATTGAAAGCCCTGGTTTTTAAGTTACTCACTAAACACAAGACTGACACTTATAAACATTGCTAAACTGTCGATACCTGCAATACTTTTAAGCCCAGATCATGAAACACTGCGTGATTACACACACACACACACACAAATACACTAATTTTACAAGGTCTGTTTCTGTAGTTTAGCAGAAGGGGGTAAAGGATTTCCATTCTGGTCCCTAGGGCTATGACTTCCAAAGAAAACTCTTGTTTATGATGCTTTCAGTTCTAAATCAGTCAACTCCTGGTTATACACATGCATTTTTTTTTTTAGCAAGCAAGTCTCTGTAAATTAACCATGCTCCCAAATACTTCTCTCGATGTTTGCATTTTGTGGCAGTATGATCTGTGAATTGTCTTGCATCTGCGTTGACTTTAATCTGCATTGTCCTGGCCCTTTTCAAAGCAAGCAGGGCACAAACCTGTGCTGAAAGGAGGACCATGAAAACCATAGTGGGATCCAGCATGCAGCAGGTTTTTGTCAGCTTGCCCTCTCTTCCCCAGGCAATGATCTCCTCCTCAGCAAGCCTTTCCACATGAATTCAACTTCATCAGGACTTCTGTGTTTGGGAGGCTGATGGACACAAGGAGTTTGCTTGATATATTAACTGTTCAAAAGAGCAGGCTAATGGGTGGCTAAGCAGACTTTGGAGCATGAAGTACCCATGTAAAGTGCTAGAGGGTCCCTGCAGTTATACAGGTCCAGTGAGCAGCCACTCACCTTTAAACGGAGGAACTCTTTCCACTGTGGAAAACTCCCAGTCCTCTTAGACAATGTCCCCCACCTTGAGATAGGAAGACAACTCACTAGTTAAACAAGAAGTTTAATTAAAGCCATTGGGGAATTTCAGCGAAAAGGAAACAGCAAGACCTTGAACATTTACAGTGGAAACCATAATTTAAGACAGGTGTTTTTACTCAGTCTGAGAACTGTACTGAAAATGCACAATTAAGAAAAGAAAAGCAAGTAGCTGAAAATTGGGAGAGCAACGCCTACTGAACTGTGGTCACGGAAACACAAGACAACATACTTTATTCTATTGCAGTTAGACTGAGGGTACATGTACCCTGTTTCTACTGCCAAATGTCTATTTGGAAACATAGTGAAATTCTGGTAATTTAATAGCCCAACCAAGTCCCCACACTGCAATAAAGCCAAAAATAAATGCTTTTACAATTATTTCGTAATCCCCAGGAGTTCCCCAGGAGTTCTGGAAATTTTAGTGTGCACAGCTGTTTTAGAAATGTACTATCAGCAGGAACCCAAAGATAATGAGATTACTTTATGCATAATCAGAATTATAGATAGACAGACAGTGAGATTACTTTCAGCATAATCAGAATTTTTCACGTATGCACATGTGTGTGTGTGTGTGTGTACTCTAAAGGTGACGGTGGCAGGGCTTTCCAGCTCACAAAGGCAAACTGGCAAGTCACCTGCTCTTCACTCCTGTATCAAGTGTAAAAAGTCCCGAGGCTGGCGTGGTGCTGGGGCTGGAGATACGCAGCGGGGAGAAAGAGGCAGGGCAAGTGGTTCCCGCAGCCCACGCGGGAGCACTGCCCTTGTACCTGATGAGCCAGGTAGTTTCCAAGAAAGACTGCAAGTCTTGTTTGCTTACCTTCAACCAGCCCATGACTCCTGGTGGAGGATTATCTCAGCAGCCACAGAGAAGATCTTAGATCACCTTGCGTAGCGTTAGGAGCCCTGGGTTGCCCGCACGGACACGGACGCGCACAGAGTGCAGGCAGGGTGCGTAGCCGAGGTGGGTATGCAAATAGCAGCGTTCAAAGTGAGTGCCATATACGGTGGAATGTGAACTGTGACAAAGCTGAGGAGGGTGATTAATGCCTGACGAGAGCTAGTTAATCTGCGCACATACTGTGTAACTTTTTTTCTCTTCCTCTTTCTGTTTTATTGTTTAAAAAAGAAAAATGTTTTGCAAGGACAGCATGAAGCAGACAAAATCTGGAGCAAAGAAGGATTTTATGCGGTTGTCATATTTCTCAGCATCTTTGTCATTCTAGTAACTTGTTTAATGGTAAGTATCCTTTTTACCTTTTTTTGCTGTTCTTTACTTCATGCTTTTCTCAGTTTCAAAGATAGTGTCACACATTCTTTACATGAATGGTGTTTTCTGAAAGCTATTAAAAACTCAACTATAAGGTAAGAGTTGGTCACTCTCATAATGCTGTGAAGCCAAAGTTTGAAGAACCACATTTCTTGATATATTTTGAGTCCAACTGAAGAATGTAACTAGAAGAAAGCTGAAGAAATAAATAATGGGCTCCTAAATCTGCAGAGTAACTGTGTAGTGACGTGAATGATGACTTCTCAACCTTCTTACTAAGGTCCCAGGATCCCTGAAGTTGCATTAGCTGCCTGTATTTCAGCTTTATTGGATAGTAAAAACACCACCACATTGATACAATATTGTCAATGCGCAGTTTTTAGAGTGTGTATCGGTATTCGTGTATTGAATACACAAATTTTAAACTGAAATGACTAGTAACTACATGAAGGAGCAATCGTACTTTTGAACAACTTTGCCACTCACATTGTATGAGTTCAGTGGCCAGGTTTCTGGGCATTAGACATACTTCTAATATGCTAAATATGAGATGTGCAAGGGTAACACAGAAGATGAACAACACTACACCACAACTGACTTTCATAGGGTAATTTTTGCATTTTTTCCAATGTTGTATCTCATGTTTTCCTTCTCTGAACTGTAGATTTCTTCTGTGGTGCATAAATATAAGGGTTTACTGAATTCTATGACAATTTTCAGCATTTATGAACACATAGTATCTTGGAGACTTTTGAGATATTTTGCTTTCAAACACGTTTAATTTTCTTTAACCTAGATGGATTTCCCACTTACAACCTTAAGATGGAAAGAATGTTTAAACTGAAGATATTAAAAAATAATCCCATTTACAACAAAATCTTATTTAAGTTTTTAAAGTCTCCCTAAGATTTGAAAAGTATTTATTTTCTCACAAAAATTCTTGCTTTATATGATTTCTTCTTCCTAGTCATCTCCGTTTCTCCATGCCATCTCACTCAAAAACAAGAGAGTAACTCTAGAAGTACTAACTTTTACTCAAACTTTTTACTTTGGAGAAGCAGTTATTTTGGTCATTACTGACTGTTTAACTGGAAGGGTATAGAAAATGCTGTCTGTCCTTGTCCCAGTACTACACAGTATTTTCATTAATTATTTGAAATGCGTAGACGGTGTTGGGAATTGTAAGCATTGTGGAGGACAGTATCAGAACTTAAAATATTATTAAGGTGCTGGAGAAAAGATGGGAAGTAACAAGAATACTGCTTGGCAGGGACAAGAGCTCTAATTGTGTGCATCAGTACAATGTAGGAGATGCATGGCAAAGCAACAGTTCTGTAGGAAACGTTCCAGCAGTACTGCGGAGCACACACTGAAGTACATGAGTAACATCACATCACATTTCTGCAAAAAATACACTTCTTGCCCTGGGTTGTATAGATGAGGATATGATCTCTGAGATCTGCATTCAACTTGGTTCTTGTAATAATTTAGTTATAGTATCGTGTATTACTCATTCTCTGTGGTCTCTTTTGGGTACCACACTTGTGAAAAATGTCAGGCAATTATAGTAAGGAGGAGATAAAAGAGTAATCAGAGATACAGAAGACATGAAATTTGGTTTATTTATGACAGAGAAAAGAAGAGCAAGGAGAAACATGGTAGTTCTCAAACATGGAAAGATTTCAAACACTGTGGTAAGGAAGAAGATGATACTTTCTCCACTGGGGATTGGAAGAGAAGCAAATTTTTTGAAAGGGTGATTTGGCTGACTCATTAGAAATAACTTTGTTATCGCATGGGTCACTAGACCCTGGAGTACATTGCTTGGGGAAGCTCATGAGTTTTCACCCGTTAAGGTTTTAGGCAAGCATCTGTCAGGAATAGTTTGGGTGTAGCTGATCTGGAGTTAGAGCAGAGGTAAATACTAGTAGACTCCTTGAACTCCCTTCCAGATGGATTTACTGTGATGCTGTGGTCTTTTCTGCAGGCATTCCCTTTTCTGTCCCCTCCAAGGTCCAACCTGTGTCTTTACGTGTGCTACTGTTTAGACTGTGTAAGTGGACACTGTCTCAGATTTTGCCAGGACCTGCTGATACATGAAGTATGTACAATCTACAAGGCTAACAAACAGCTCACATTGTTTTTCATCCCACTTTATGTGTGTCAGAGTGGCAGATTTATGAAAAGTAGGAATACAGTATTTCAAATTCAGCCATTGCAGTCTACCTGACCATTCAGCTTTAGCATAAAGCATTAGGGCTCATCGTAAGAAGCTTTGGCTGTATAGAACTTATGAGATCACCAAAATGTGTCCTCTCTTTTAAAATTACAGGGTAGGCACCTTTTTGTCCATAGGTCGTTATTTGTAGTTTAAAGGGTCCAAAAGCAGAAAGCTTAGCCTTGGAAAGACGACTTGGAAGTGTCCTTTAAAGTGTGGAGTAGGAAGTACTTTAAGTGATGATTATGATGACTAGCAGTGCTCAGTGTAAGACAGCTGAATTGTCAGTGTTATTGATTTGTTCTGTGTAATTTCTGCAGAAATTGTAAAACATGCAGCCTTGTCTCTTAACTGGGTTTTACAAACCATGACGCTTCCCTGCGCTGAGAGCACACTGTGCATTAACAACTTTTAGGCTTCTTAATACTTGGCTGGAATTTAACAAATATCTGGCCTCTATACATAAAAACCTACAGTGGAGAGTATTGCTAAACAGGGTAGTACAGCAGCACATGAGCTAAACTTGGACTTGTAAATTGTACCTCTGAGGTCGTTTTATGTATTTACTCAGCTAGTCCTCGTTGTCGTGGTATGGGAACCTCTTGTGTCCCAGGAGCAATTCATCATATGTGGAAGCCAACACGCAGCTCATTGCTATCCTCATCATGGGCTGACCATGGGCTCACTTCCACTGGGAACATTGTACAACATTCACAAAGTTTGCCAGGCGAAGTGCTAAGTAAGAATAAATATTTTTAGCACTCCTATGTGTAAAAGAGGTCTCTGTATTTTTTATTTTACATAGATAGAGAAATAACTGAGCCATCACCAAATTTACTAAATAACACAGTATTTGACAGTGGGTTAAATTATTTGCTATCATATTTCTTACTAATTTTGCCTGGTTTAATAAACTAGTATGTTTGCATATCCTTTTTTTTTTTTTTTGAATATGTACATGTAAGTATCTGTTGAGTAGTCTGAAAGTATCACCTTCAGATTATGAAATATTTGTAGCTATTTGTGATAAAAGGGTTTTCTAAATGTTTTTCTTCCCCCCCCCCCCAAAAAAAAAAAAAAAAAAAAGCCATGCTGTCAGCACGCTGTCATTCTTCCATATAAGCTGAGTCAAAGAGGAGGCAGAAAGAAGACTTATTTTCCTTTTGGACTGTGGCTTTGAACCCTAGGCTTAATATATGAAAAAATTACAGATGACCCACCTTGTGTGTCCTGGAAAATAGTACTTTGTGTTGTTCAGTTGTTCCATGCCTCTTGATTATCCTCGCAATGAATCTTCTGGGGTATCAGTAAAATGTCAGTTTCCGTAATTTAGGGGCTTCATACCTGTTTCCATCCATAGTGACGGATGTGTTTAAAGTTATTTGAAATATGAGTACAACTGAGTTGTTCCCTTTGCAGAGCTTGGTGATTGGGTTGATCACTGTCTTTTTGGCCATTTCTGTTTGTTTGACTTTCACCTGGCATTCATTAAAAACATGATAGCCCTGACCACACTTTCTGAGGAAAGTGTGTTAGCTCTTAGATCAGATGTGGTTCTTTAGCTTTTTTTCAACTTCTGCTGGTGGCAGGCTATCTTTTTTCCTAGGGTCTAATACTTGTCCAGGTTTTTGGAAGTCAAAAACATAATTCCCTGGGTCTCCAAGGCATGAAACTATGTCAAAATATATCAGTGACAAGAAGGTATGGTTAACAATGTCATGACTGTGAGTGTCTGAGCCGTATATCTGTGGGTTACCAGAAACAAATGAGACCACTGGAGGAAAAGAGGGTTAAAATATTTCAAGACCCTGTTTTGTCTTTACTGATACCTGCATCCTTGCTTCACAGTAAGGCTGTTTTTTCTGCAAAATAATGGCAAAGAGCAGCTTATCTTATCCATGCAATTTAATTCTAAACTCTTCTGAATGAACAGATGGTTTACGTAGCTAAGACTTGTTTAATGGGTGTATTGCTAATGACATTAGGTCAGTTCCCAGCTAAACCTCTAATGCTAATCCTTGAAAAAACAAACCCATCAGATATATCCAGTCTTCACCGGAAAGCTATGGAGTGCTAGATCTATGTGGTGGTAGTGGGGCAACAGCTGTCAAAGAGCTTCTGACTTGCAGCGGAAAAATGCTTTTGTCTAGGCTTTGTCTTTATGGCTTTGCAAACCAGGATTCAATTTAAATGCTTTACAGCAACAGATAAAGCAGAGTAGAAGGTAAAAGGGTATCTGCAGACACCTTCAAAAAGCTGTGTAAGTGCCTTTCACCCACCTCCACACACAGTACTTATGATAGTAATTCTCCTAAGTTTCATAGATTCTAAGGCACATTTTGAAAATGGCACAGCTACAGCTCAGAAATTGTTTTTTTCATTCCCCTCAAGAGAGATAAGATGTGTTAAATAGGCGTAACACAGGTTCCTCTGGAGTGACATTACTGAGTACACGCTACCCGCCAGCCCTCGCCAAGCAGGTGTACAGCGTCAGCGTGGAGTTCGGTGAAAGAGGATCAGTACAACTTCTGAAAAGCTTTTGCTGCAGATATCTGACATCCAAGTTTGTAAGCAATAGGTGGACAGAGAATCCTGGTATTAGAGTATGTTCAGACATCAATGTCTTGGTAATTGTAAAACACACTTTTCTGAACAGATGCCTAAATATCTTCATAGGCCATGCATCGCTTCAGCTTTATTCCAGAACAGGTTATGTTTCTCTGAGGATACTGAGGGATATCCTTATCCTGAGGAGTATTTCAGAGTAGTAGCAGCCTACCATTACAAAAGTGGCCTAGTAAAGTTACTCTGTTCAACCATCAGCTCCATGCAAAATGAGTAAGAGTTTTTAAGAACACCTGCTCTAAAACAAATTGAGGCTGCTATAATTAGAGATACATACCTGGATGTATCATGAACGCCTCTTTTATTTTGTGCCATTGTCTCTCTTGTGTTAAAATTCTTACAAATTTTTCTACAATTACTCTATTTATCAGTATTTCCTTCTTCACAGTGTGTTTTGTAACTATTTTCCATTCTATGTTATTTGCCCCTTTAATAATACAGCTGCTGGTATTACAAATAATTACTGGCTCACAATAAGAACTGTTAAAATCCCTACTGCCCATGTGTACACACTGTGGTTTATGTAATGAAAATATTTATCCTGTTGTGGGAAACGCCATGTAACACAACTTGCAGCTTACCTTCTATAGCCACGTGTAGCAATCTTATCCAGCATTTGTGATACTTTCCTTGCTTTGTTTACCAGGAAATTGAGATTGGGCTTTCCTCTTCATTTCTGTAGGTTCTGTACAGATTAAAGGAGAAGATCCAGTTGTCACTGAGACAAGAGAAGGAAAAGAAGCAGGAGATCCACCTCTCGCCCCTTCCCCTGCAGACATCTCAGTCCGAGTATAAGACTGCCAACAGTATGGTCCAGCCTCAACAGGCTCCAAAGGTTGTCAATGTGGTAGTGGACCCTCAAGGCCAATGTGTTCCTGAGCTCAAACCTCCCCTGTGTGCCAGTCCGTCTCCTTTCAGAATGAAACCTGTGGGGCTCCAGGAAAGGTAGGATGGTGCCCGTTGCCTTCAGGATTTATTCTGCTTTGTTATACTCATGCCGCATGATTTCATATGTGTCTCTTCTGTCAATGAGTGGGAGACTTTGCCATACAGATATCTGAGAAGTGGGATTTTGGTGTGTTAATATCTATCTCAGGGGTATTCTTTCCTTTCTTTTTCATATGAGCAAAGGTCCATCAGTTTGGGCTGAGATTAACCGCAGTACTGGAATTCTTTTTGCTAATTTGTTTCTTCCCCTTTCCAACTATTACTCCAAAGAAGTCATTTTTCATTTTCCATTGATTTTTGCCTGTTTTGATCCTGGAGATCCTGGCAGAGGGCACAAGGGCTTGTTATATTTTGTCAGCAAAGGACATTCTCATTGTCAGGGAGTCCCTAGCACATGGGAAGCTTAGAAAGAAGCAATATTTACACCGAGTGCATTTACCAGTCTCATACAGTGTTTCCATTATCACCTTTAGATAATTTTTCTTCTTAAATCCAGCTTTCCATGATGGTCAGGATACAGTGTGAGGTCTACAGGCTTTACAAAAAAAGAGAAAGAAGTGATTAGTAATGAAACTGACCCTTACGTGCAGCTCCTCAGAAATACTCGGGCACCAAACCTTGCCACTCATTCTACCTTTCAAAAACTGGGCCAGTGCTCTTTTTATAAAACTAGATATTCTTCCCACGGGAGAATGCACAATGGCATCTGTCTCTCCTCTGTTAGAAACCTACATAATTTCTTGCCCGATGGCTGCAGGCCGCTTTCATAAAGCATCAGTGCTCTGAATAACTAACGTAGCATGCAGCCGTGCAACTGAACTCTTCTACCCCAGCACAGATGATAAATGAAAGAACAGACGCCACGCAGATACGATGGGGAAATCAGAATGAAAGGAGACCAAGCAGAGCCTTGTCTGTGAGGACTCTCAGAGTTGAGCAGTAACCCTGATTCTGCTTGAACCACAGGATTTCAATGACAGAAATTTTATCAATGGCTTTATGAGACACAGACAAAGCTAAGGCAGGGGGATTGATTCTTCCGTGAGTAAAAGATGCTGAAAGGCAGACCTGTCCTAAAATATGTAGTGATATCACTGCAGCTAAAAAAAATAAAGAATGTAGGAAGCAACTAAATACGTTCTGATAGTAGCTCTCATTCCACAAGACCCCAAAAATAAAGTACATGAGCATGGGGATCACGTAGCTAGTTTATAATACCTAGTACCTAACATAGCATATGTAATAGTCAAGAGGGATTGGGGTGGAAGACTTTGTAGAGGAAGCTTGTACTTAAGGATCAGGGAAGAAATTTTTCCATTGCTTAAACAAAGAAAATAAAAACTATTGATCTAGGATCTTAATTTCCACCACTGCAGATAGAAACTCAGCATTTAATGCTCCTAAACCAAATTTCATCCTTTGGAAGGACAAAGTTCTGAGTCAGATGTGTCAAAATGGAGAGCTGAGATACAAAGAGGAAACTAAACCTGATGTTTGATCAAATAAACCAGGCATTTGAGCTTATTACTAAGGAAAAAGAAGTTGAAGGAACTGAGCACTTCAGTTTCTATTGTGAAAGCATACTAATAGGCTATAGTGAAAAAATGAAAGCACTTGTGTTAACATTCCATTCTGCAGTTCTTTTTGTCGTGTTTAACACAGTTACACTTTATCAGCCCAAGTCCACTTTCTAAGAAATGGTGGTTTAAGTTTATTTTGAGCTCAGTGATACGAAGGTTTGGGGATGTGAGGGAGAGAACTTCAGGGAATAAGTTGTCTTCTCTTCCTCTGAAATAAGCAGCTATTATTATATATATTTCTTATTTACTTACTATATCCTGTACTATGAACAAATTTACATACATTTTGACACACCGAAGCACTGGCAGAAAAAGTAATAATGCAGCAACACATTTTGCCTCAGACATCGTCTAATGACCAGGTATGTGGACAGTTTAAAACCTCTCTCCACCTTTCTGCCCCACAACAACCTTGCATTAGGCAGCCTTGGGCCATCCTCCTTACACATGGGAGCGGTGGACCTTACAGCATGGGTCTGCACACTGCAAGCAGCACACCGTGCACAAAACAGTCTGCTCGCAGCCCTTTCTCTGTCAGTATGGAGTGGGATCAAGCCTGGAGGTCCCCTTCTGCTCATAGTCACAGCTTGGGGGCACCCATTCAATAGTGTTTGCTACCCTGATTTTGGTTTCTACCAGGAGAAGCAGCTCTTGGCAGGCTAGTGTGGATGTGGGGGCTCCTTGACAAACTTAGCATTGAGATTCCTTTGGCCAGATGGCTTGACAGTGGTTCCTGAGGAGTATTTTCTAACTATCCAAACTCCCTGGTTTGATTCCTTAAGTGTGATCCATAGTCATGAAATGCCTAGTATGATCCAGAGCAAACTGTATCTCTTCGAAGAGAAATCAATGGACCATGGGCCAAACCAGGGTGTGAGCCGACCGCTGTCCCTAGCTGTCTAGATGGGAAGTTTGTGGCAGCATCTCCAAAGGACGGGGCAGAAAATCCGGGTGATGCCTGCCTCTCAAGCTCTCCCTGCTCTGCACACTGGGTGCTGCTTTGAGGAGCATATCTAAATGCAAACATATGGTGGAACTGAGTTTTCACAAAGCACCACATCAGCACCTGGCCCTCTGAACCTTTCCGTTTTTAATAGGAATAGCATTAGCTGGTACAGAGGCAGACAAATTGCTAATGGACAACTGTCCATAGATCAAAACGTTTCTGGGAGTTTATCCAGCTTCTTAAAACGTATTGTGCTGCTGAATACTAGAGCCAAGTCCATATAATCGGGGTTTTTTTCTGCCTATCCGGAAAGGCTCTCACTCAGCTATTTCCACCAAGACACAGCTTCCCCAGCAGATTACGCAGCATTTGCACTATCAAATGTGTGGAACGCTGCAGGTGATTTTTTTTATTATTATTATTTTTTAAACCAGCCCGGTGCTTGGCATGGAAGGCAGCGGTGAGGGACGCCGGGCGCGGGGAGGGTGACACCTACAGCCGGCGGGCGACACTGCTGGCTGCAGCCCTTGGAGAAGGGAAGGTGGTCAGGCAGATTTGGGGGTGGTGGTGGGGTGTAACTAACTGGCCCAGTGGCCTCAGGAGGCGAGTTATTTTCCTGGGTGCCGGCCAGGGATGCGCGCCCACATGCAGCCTGCGGCTGGGGAAGGGACGGAGCGGTGGTGGCCCGGGGCGGAGGGGTGGACCCGCAGGTGTGGAGGCGAGAGGGCTGTTAGGACAAAGAGGCACTCACCCCTTTCGGTTACAATTAGTGATAGATGCTGGGG